TTAACAATTATTCCACGAGCGCGCGTTGGATATGAGATGATAGATAGCCAACGAGGCGCGTAGCGCCGAGTTGGCTATAATCATCTCATATCCAACAAGCGCGAGTGGAATAATTGTTTTATTAAAAACGTTAAATTAAATTATTAAATTTTATTAAATTTTTAGCTCCCTTTTGATTTTAAGCTGACACGTACGCTTACCATATTTGTAGATTATGGTATATTGGCTGATATACCATAATGGCTAAGCCAATAAAAAGTCTTGAATTGCATTATCCAATGATCTAGTTTTTAATAATATGTAAAAGCATCGATCTTCAAGTTGTTTGACAAACCTGTTGCTCCTCCTCGGCCCCAAAAAGATACTAAAAGAACAGAAGCAAATAGTTTTTGTAAGCGGGGCGCAGTCTTAATTTGAACAAAATTCCATTTATATCATTGGTATATAGCTTAATTTTTTTCTCATAATAACAGAATGAGAGATTTTCATATTTTCTTGATAGTTAAAAAAATGTCGTGTTCTAATTAAGACATTACACCTGGGTAATGTATCGTCTTTTTGCCTGATTTTGATTGGCGACGTCTCCTATTTTGCACGCTTAACAGCTCAGCCCGAATGCTTGAAGTTTATCAAGTTAAATCCGCACCAATATTCTAAATCCTTGGCCACTCATACTTCCATTTCATATATAGTCGCCTTTGAGGTTGTTCTTCGCCTCACTGCTTTCAACCTACTCACATACTCCAAGTTTTAGGAGATTTGCAAGCTGCAAAAACGGCACAAAAAGGAAAATTGCTTCTGTAAGTTAACTCGCATTGGGATACTTGCCTGAAGTATCCCAAGCCTGAAGCATTGTAAAAATTTCTTCCTTTTCATCACAAAAAATTGTAACCTTTTTCCTTCAGCGGTTAAAGGCCAAAAGAAGTCTTATTGTTGCTATGGCGTTGTGCGACCATTCGACATGATGGCAAAAGCCAAGCAAGGCTTACGAGCTTTGAATCAAGTCGGCTACTCGCTGAAGCAGGTTCGCCAAGCGCTCGGTATTCAACAGAAAACACTCGAAGGAAAACTGGAGAAAGCAGAAAAGAAGGCAGAAGACATTAGTGCAAGAGTGGAGAAGGCGCTGAAAGAGACCATGAAGATCTTGACAGATGCCACAAAAGCGGCTGCTGCTAAGCTGGGATCAGTATCAGGTATTTTTTTTTAGGTCGAGCATAGCAAAGTTCTGCATTTCAACAAATTTCGTAATATCAAATCAATATTATCACAAAAGCCTTTCAGGACCTACTAAAGTATCATAACAACCCAGTAGAACCGAGCAGGCTGCTTGAGGTGTGCAAAAACACGAGTCCATACTTGAAGTCGCAATTGGTTTTAGTTGTGCGTACTTCTGCTTGATGTACAGGACGGTTTTAAATTGTCCATTAGGATCACATATCTAAGGAAAGTAAAAGAAAAACACAAATTATGCAAATAATCGATTACAATAGAGCTTTATCATGAAACGACCACAGTCTGAATGTTTTTACACTATGCAGAGTCTATTTTCATGGATCAAAATTTTAAATTGTCCTTGCTTATCACATTTGAGCTCAGCGTACGAGCACTCGAAGAGCAAAGAAATGTATTGAGCTAAACTGAAGCTGAAAACAAGGTGCAAAGTAAATTTTCAAGTATAACCCGGCCTCTTTGCGGTGAGGAATGCTTTCCCGCGGATGTAGTAAACTTTCAATTTATATCATTATGTAATATCCTTCAAAATATCGAAATCGATAATTCCCTATTAAGGATTAAGGGTTACTGAAAATTGTACGACATGCCTAGGAAAACAGGCTTCATAAATTTCTTCGCGAATCTTTTCACTGAAAAGGACTAAGCCATTATCATTTCAATTCTCGCAGGTCTATGGACAACTCTGTTTTTCTCCTTTTTATTTCATCTGTTTTTAATGGCTTGTTTATTATTTTGTCATCCATTCCTTACAGATGCCACAAATGATTTGGGACAACTTAGTAAAGACATCGAAGAGACAAAATCACACGATATGATTAGCAAAATAAGAGAGATGATCGCCGAGAAACCGGAAAAGGAGAAACACGATGATGATAAAAACTCCAAAAAAAGTAAAGCCACAGAGGAAAGCAAGGACCAATCGAAAAGTGGCAAGCAACACAACAAGCTCAAGCCAAAGGACAACATTCCAAGTGGACTCAATGAGGATGAAACCGCCGTGGCCAGAAGCCTGCTGAACTTACAAAAACACGAGGTTGAAGAGGTAGAAAAGGCGAAAGATGCTATCCACGAAAAAGCACAAGCAAACAAGCGAGCCTTTGAAAAGACCAAAGACCTCCTGAAGGAGATGGAAGACGGTCTATTAAAGTTCCAAAACGTCTATTAAAAAGAAGTGAATTTGAAAGACAATTTATGGGCTCCAGGGATCAGAGGGCATGAGTACATTTTGACGTCAGCAATCCTGGATTTGGCTGGCAGAATTATTGTTCTTCTAAGTACATGCAAGCTAGCTTTGTTGGCCTTGCTTTTCAATTAAAACTATTTTCCCTTTCACATGCAGATGAGGCCAGGAAGGCTATGAAACACGCATATAGAAAAAAAATAATCAGCCACGTCATTTGAGAAAGAAGTCTATTCAGTTACGTTTATGTCTCGCTCTGTTGTCTGTTGTTGAGATATTACGATTGCTTTCCTCTCTACTCTAGAATAATGTTCACTCCTTTGTGTTTCTTTGTTTTGTGTTTTTTTCTTCGACAAGTGCTCTTCTCAGATCAACCTTGCCCGTGGGGAAAGTCGGCTTACTCGGTAAAACAGCTCTTATAACCCTGACAGGAAGCAGAAAATTAAGGACAGAAGAGCCCCTGGGGACATTGTCTTACAAGACTAGTTCCAAACGGTCGCAGTCGTTCTGGCATCTGATTGGTGCCTGAAAATCTTTGTGTTTTTCTGCCCAATCAGAGTGAAGTGTCCTCTGGAGCCCTCAAAACAACTAATCATTGCATAGGCTCTTTAGGTGTTCTTATATTCTGACGAACATAAAAATGTAATGCTGTGTATCATGGACAGTTATATTTTGAAAGTCGTATACCCTTTGTAAATGAAAATTTAACTTTAACAAGCAAAACCGGATTTTCACCTGGGATGCTAGCCTCAATGATTCAGTATTTTAAAAGTATTACCCTCAAAAAATGTAAGCTAGATATTAGCGTCCGAATCTTGTTATCAGTAATTATTCACTGTCCAGGTTAAACTAACGAATAAAATGACGAAAAACCTGCGTAAAAAATTCTCTTATTGAGGGATTTCTACATTGTTAGTCCTCATAAAAAAAATTAATGAGTAACAATTAAGGAAGGGATACGCATACGGAGCACTTATTATGATCCCTCAAAAGCTCGGAGTTGCCTAATATGGAGAACATTTTTTCAGAATGTCTGTTCTTTCTCAATAACATACATAATCATGTGAAGGTGTAGTCTGATCGTCCGGGTGAGTGTAGTCCTGAGAAGGACTGTTGTCGGTGGCAGTGACTGACGTTTCGACAACCTGTGCGGAAGTCATCATCAGAGTCAAGTGAATGATTGTTGTCAGTAGAATGTTCTTATTCCAGTTCGTGTGAAATGATCGGTTGGTTTTGCCGTGATGTTATTGGCTGTAAGACTCAAGTGACGTAAGTCGGTCGTGATTGGTCTGTTTCGNTGTGTGCTTCATTTGAAATATTATGCCCGATGTTTTGCTGTTAAAAGATTACCGATAACGGATAAGGCGATTGTGTGAAATTCAATCAAAGTTAGCAGTTCGAAAAGCCCTTGGTGTTTGTAGATGTGCAAGCAAAGCCCGCTAATTTTTTATGTTTAACTCAAATGGAGTCAAATTAAGATTGACTTCCTCATAAAAGGAAGCCTGGGACCATACCTAGTTCTTATTAACCGAGCGGGAGGTCTGTATGGGAGAATCTTGACCGAGGTTGCCAGTACAGTCGCGACCGAGGTCAAGATTCTCCCATACAGACCGACCTAGCTCAGTTAATAAGATGTTTATTATATGGCTGTGTCTTAAATGCCAATTTTTTTATATTCTTTGTACCTTTTTTTCTTGATCGGTCTAGATGCCGGTCTTGATGGGAAATCTAGACCGCTTTCAATATTGATTTCGGCCAATCAAACTCGTGAATTCGGTACTTCCCAGTCCTTGTGAGACACAGCCATATAATAAAGGAATAAAGGCTGACAGTTTCGAAAGAAACTGTTTGGGGCTGCGTCGGTGGGAGTAACGAAATAATTTGGATATATCAATATAATAGATTATAATTATATAATAAAGGAGAATATTAGCCGGGGTCGTGGCGGGAATCAATCTACAGATGAATGGAACTTATCACAGTAAATTCTCCCCATTTACATGAGATCAACCAGAAATCCCAGCACCCGGAAATTTCTAACACTTTTTAGATATTTATTTACCAACTAAAATTTCGCACTGGTACGGACAATTATGTTTAACCTAGAGATAGTTATCTTTACGAATACTTTTTTTCAACAGCCTGGTCTGTTAGTTCTGACCCATATAAACATGTAGGTTTCATTACAGAAAAATCCACAGTTCAAAACATTTTGCATGTTTATATCCATTCGTTAGTTACTGATTATAATTCATATCCCTAACTACAATTATAAGGCAAAGTTGCTCAAAGATCATTTGCTTCTGGTCAAAAAGATTTTCGCTTTTCTTTATTTAAATCTTGCCTAGAATACAGTTACAGAAAATTTTATCATGTGGAGACTTCAATTAGTAAATTAAGCGGCAACGAGGCATATCCAGAATTGCCCAAAAATATGTATATAGTACATAAGATATATATATTAGATCTCGTCCATGTTTCGGCTGAAGTTGAAAAATGCAGTCGGGCCTTCTAGGCAGGAAGGAAGTTAATGTGTTTCGAATCAGTTAAGAAGTTGCATCATGAGTCAAATTGGCCTTTTAAATTGCGTTAAAAAAAAAAAAGTTGATAAATTAAACAGACAAAAATTTTAAAGAACATAGCCACAAAATGAGTAGATGCATATAACAATAATGGCGAAAAAAAGGATTATTTTGACATCCTTGGAAATACGAATTGAGAAATCACACGTTTGTTGAAAGTTATAGGGAGTGTACAGATTACATGAATGTCGCGATTAAAGATAGTTACCGACTGAACTTAGAAATTTCTTAGCAGTCTTGAAGCAGCCAAAGTACGATGAACAACGCAAGCGTAATTCCGAGTAAAATTGTTTGTTAAAGGCATGTCAATACCTCAGTGTAATCTGGGAAAGCTTTCAACACCCTTTATTTCTTGAAATAGAACCAATCCCATTGATGACGAGCTCGAAGATTTGAGTCATCCTCGCGAAAATATGTCAAACGCAGACAGCTTAAACTGCCTCGAGCGAAAACCTCGTTAAAACTACTACAGAAAATTTCAGGAAAGACATGGGTATCTATAACATTATTTTCGCACTGGCTTTGATTTTTGAAATACAATTCATCGCCGTAAGATGTTCTAATCCCTCTCTGTCGCAAGGTAAGTGAATAGCTATCATCTGTATGTGTACCTTAAATCGATTTGAAACCAATGAAGCCTCACATTATTTTCCAAAGAAAGTAAGAAGCGATGAAGTGAGCCTGCGTTATCCTAGCCCTACTTATTGACCAGTCTTATTTAGATCCAAGTAAATTACAGATCAGAGCTGGAATGAACTGTTGTATATACAGTCTACAACTACTGGGTACTCCTTGTGATGTGTTAGTTGTTAACTTTACCATGTATAAAAGTTCCTTATAGTCACACCTTGTAAAGTGTCCTATTTCCTAACACCTGCGCGGATCTTTTTCACCTGCCAACAGGAGATATTATCCAAACGACTGAGCTCTTAATGTGGAACCTCTTTAGAACCTAAGTGGCCTTTAGCCTTAAGACAAGATCGTGAAATAAATAGCTGGACTGTGCATTGAAAATGGTTGGATTGGTGACTCTAGTTTTACTAGACATGTACTAAATAGACAGGATTACAAACTGCGCAAAAACTGAATTTTCCTGACTAAAAAATTCTTATTGCTATCAAGGTACAATTCCTTGATCTTTATATACAACCTCTTCAGCTAGGTTGCCGCCCATTCTTTTCAATGTTGTCTTTTGATGCTATATGGTACAGGCTGAAATTTCAAGCACAGATATTTATAGCTATTTGATGAGGAATTTGTCTTTCGATCAGTACATACGCGCACCAGATAGACTGTATGAAACCTCCTTAAAAATTTCAATTTCAAATGTTCCCTCTCAAGTGGGATCGGTGAGAGGGAAACTAAAATTAATTTTTTTTTTTAGCATGTACCCCTGAAACGAAAAAAAAAATGCAAAACAATGAAACAAGCTCATCTTCACGCGACAATTCAGTGAAAAAATTCTTAGAATGAAACAGAACAGCGTCGAGGTCGTCAAGGAATAACTTGCTTATCACCTGGTATTATTCTTTTCCCTCTATATAATTTGGTATACTAAACGTTTTAATCCAGTTAATAAAAGATCTCTGTCATCTACGGAATTTGCTAATGATCTCTATATAATTCAGTTTTCCATTAACGGAGGTTTTGAGTAATCTTGATTTATTTTTTCATTCCAACTTGCTATTTTAGCACTCGTGCGTGATAACTAAGAAAAAAACTTAAAGAAAGTCCTATACAATTCTATTGCAGTAACAAATTCGTGTCCTTAATCTTCATTCAATGGTGCGGAATAACAAACAATTATAAAAGAACGCGTTTCTTGAGTTACTCTTCACTCATGTGTCCTCATTAAACATTCATTGCGTTTGTCTTTTCATTGATGACTGCTTAGTCTACTCCGGCAAGATTGTGATGGTTATAACGCTTCCGTTTTTATGCTCAATCAGTCTTTAAGCAAGTTCATCTAAGATAAAAGCTATCTTTAAATTTTACCTAAAGGGTCAACCCATTATGATTATTATAAGCTTAAAGATCAACGAAGTTTTCTTTAAAGACTACGCAGCTTTCCCATGCATTTCTAAGCTCATAACTAATAATACTTCACCAAAGATTTTAGCGTCGCTCTAACACTAAGCAACTTCGAAGTTTGACGAGCGTCAGAAAACCAAATTTCTTTGTACCAAGATTGCGTACTGTCAACCACGTTACTCGAGTGCTACCACTTACCCTAGAGGCCACGCATGGTTCACAGGTTAACAGCAGGTGCTATGTTGCTACGAGGAAACCTGATGACCTCACGTGACAGTGGTATTGCGTGAATATCTTGTTGTAAAAGATACAACATTTAGATTCAAAATCAAATCAATCTCAAACCGAAGAAAACTTTTCATACAAAATAGCAAGCTGGTATAGCAAAGAATTTCTGGATGGGAAATAACAGATCGAGCAAAGAACGAAGACACTTAGGGGTGAAGAAGATCCCCGAGGATTAGGTTGGACAAACTTGGATGAAAACATTGGCAGGTTGATCACTCAAGTTCAGAAAGCCTTGACAGTCCGCCTGTAAGACTTCTACTTTTAAATTAGAGGATATACCGTAGTAATGACGTTATTTGACTCCTAATCCATAAAGCAAAAGGAGTTAGGTATCATAAATACAATATAGTCTTAAAATCTATTCTGTCCTAACAAAATCCGCTCATGATTTAACAAACAGGCTTTAAATTGAAAAGGTATATTTTGTCGTTATCCTTGCATTGTGAAGTGAACCAGCCCTTAACGTCGTATGACTTCTTCTTAAAACACACTGAACAAATGTCATAGTACAAAGACAAAAAAGAAAAAAGAGAATCCTCTTTTTTTTTGTCCTAACGGCAAGGGTTTAAGTAGAGAAGTGAGTCTCTCAATCCGTTTTGTGTCGGTTCTTGTGTTTACACCACCTATGATAACATTTTAGAATTAACTCTTCTGCAGTTCAAATGCATTTTGAATTTTCGTTAAGAATATAACTGTCATAATAACTCTAGGATAACGACAATGGTCTTTCATTTAGGTGTTTCTAGATCTGATGGACTGAAAGCACTGTTTGGAAAGAATTTCCAAAGCGACTTACAGTCCCAGTTACTTGCCTTTTCTTCGGGAACAGGACCACGGACTCTTGCCAACGACAAACCAGGCTCAGAAGATAACGAAGAGGTTAGTTAAACAGGACCCTCCACTGACCTTTTGGAGACCGAAAAGAGTGGACCCAAAGATGACAACGTGGGAGAGGATGTGGCATTGGCCTACACAGAATCAGTCGAAAGGAACAAGCACGATGAGGGCCACGAGATCTCTTCACCTCGTGTACGACAAATTATGCTGATAAAAGCACGAGCCACAACCAAAGCGACGAAAGGAGATCTAAGCAAAGGGGTAGTCATCCAAGATCAAAACGGGGATGAACTTAGACTTGACCACCGTATCACAAGAGTAACTCTTCGTAACATATTTCACCAGATAGGTAGAAAAGAGGACAAATTTGGAAACGGTCAATCTTACGATCAAGAGAGAGATGCTGAATCTGGAAGCGTAGTTCGGTCAGAAACAGAATCCAGTGGTTGGTGTACGGTTCAAAACGCAGAGCGTTCGAGCGAGCTTGATGAAAGAGTCGCACATGAATTAGAAGCTGGATCTAAGGACGAGTCAGAATTCACAAGTAAGAAGACGGGAACGTCTGGAAATCAAGGGAGTGGTGATCTTCAGTTCTCTAGTGTCAAAGGGGCGAATGTTGCCAAGCCTGTAGCAGAATCAGCTCGTGATAAGCCTACAAAAGGTATTATGAAAGGAGAGGGAAACAGTGGAAGTGAGGAGCTGCCATTCGATCCCATACTCCTTTTCCAAGTAAGAAATATCAGAAAAAACGTCCTGAAGGCCGAAAAACAGGCAACTATGGAACTAAATAACGTCAGAAAGGAGTTCAGAGCTAAAATGGAAGATCTTCAAGAAGACCTGAAGATGGTGAGAAAGCTGACAAGTAATGTCCACAGGAAAGTTGGAATTACAGTTAAACAGGCGCTTGCAATGGCAAGACAAGCGAAGGCCAACGTAACTAACAGATTGGTAATGGCACTAAGTAAGTGACACACGAAACTTTCACGTCATTTGTTACTTTAGTCTCTTGCGTCTTTGAGTCTCTCAACAATAGGAGGGCTCTGAGTACGATAGTGACCATGCAAAGACTGATAATATATTGGGATTTTTTCCACTCGTCTTAAGATTGCCAGATGTATCTTCCCGCTTCCTTGTTTAGGAGCGTTCGAAGATTCCAGTGTGAATTGCCATTAGGAATCCACTCATAAATCATTCTTGCTTCTTTCCAAAATCAGTGCTAACCAAACACTTGAGAGGAGGTGTAACAGTGTCTCCTATATTCGGCAAGACGTGCCTTGAATGATCGTTTTATTTCTTCAACGTGGCTTTCGTAACATTTTTCACCTCCGCTTCCTAACCGACAGCACAGTACAATACTTTATTTGAGAACAACATACATAGTTATTAAGAAAAAGGAAACCGAGAGTTTAACCCTATATCAAGGGTCTCCTATTTATGCATAAAATCTTACATAAATAGTTAATAAAAATATAAAAAAGTCAAATAAGAAGCAGCTCAATATCATAAATAAATATAAAATGGCGATTCAATAAATATTCATATGTTTCTTCAAATTTCATTTAAACTCACTAACGTTAGGGCTGTCACAAAAATTGAATACATTAATAGGAAGATTATTCCAGGGTTTGATATATCTGAAAAAGAGAGAATTTTGTAGCGGTTCAGTTTTGCGAGTTTGAGTTGTAGTTTATACGGATGGTTAGATCTCGACTTAGTGTTTTTACAAAGTTCAAAATTAATCCATTTAGATTGAATACAGTTTTGTAGCATTCCATTAAGGAAAGGAAATCTCTCCTTAGTACTAAAAAGATTCATTTAAGAATTTCACACCTCTCCTTATACGCCATCTCTTGTCTTCTTTGGCCTAAAGCAATTCGCGAAGCTCTTCTTTGTATCTTCTCAATTTCATCGATGTCTTTGATGAGGTGTGGTGACCACACCGGGCAAGCGTATTCCAAGATGGACGAACCAAGCTTTTGTAGAAATTTGAAAAAATATCTTTATTTTTACCGCCTACTGTGCGTTTAAGTAAGCCAAGAACCTTCTTTGCTTTGTGAACTATTTGTTCAACATGTTTTGACCATTTCATATCACTAGGTTACCAATCCGAGTACGATCCACGTACCATAACTCTTTGTTTTCGATTGGTTAAGAAGTTCCTGAACCACTGTTGCAGTTGCCCGTCTATCCCGTACCTAATGAGTTTTAAAAGTAGGCGCTCATGAGGGACATTGTCGGACGCTTTTGACAGGTCCAGAAATATTACATCAGACACTTTAGACGAACTTCTTGTTAAGCACCAGTCATTATAACAGCTTAAAAGTTGTGACACTGTCGATTGGCCCTCCAAGTATCCAAATTGGCTTGAGTTTAAGGCTGGTTTTCATTAGCGACGGAGTTGGAGTCGGAGTCGTAGTCGGAGTCGGAGTCGTAAGAGCGCTTATGACCCACGCAGTGAAAATCGAAAAACGGAGTCGTAAGCGGAGTCATAAGCTCGACGGAATCGGAGTCGGAAGAATCAGAACGTTCCCATTTTCTTCCGATTCCGCTTATGACTCCGTCGCTTACGATCTAGTGAAAACTGCATTGTCGGAGTCGGAAGCGGAAGCGGAAGAATAAACCAATCACAATGCTCGATTCCAGGCCCTCGAAAGTACAAATTTGGCGCCAAAGACAACATGGCGGACGAAGAGCAACTTTGGCTCTTATTAATCATTATTTTGCGCGGGCAGAGAAAATGCCGGAAAAATATTGTTCACACGTTTAAATTTGTTACGGCTATTTGTGCATTTTGGAAAGATGGAGTCGAGGATTGTGATTGGTTTATTCTTCCGCTTCCGACTCCGACAATGCAGTTTTCACTAGATCGTAAGCGACGGAGTCATAGGCAGAATCGGTGTCCTGCTTCCGACTCCGTCGGTTTTATTTTCACTAGATCGTATCGCTCCTCGCTTCTGATTACGACTCCGACTATGACTCCGTCGCAAGTGAAAACCAGCCTTTTAGTAGTTGATGTTCAGTCCAAAATGAGACAACTCTTGATTTCACAATCTTCTCCGCCGTTTTACTGATGATAGATGTAAGCGAGACTTGGCGATAGTTTTCCTTTTTATATTTTGGTCCCTTTTTATAGACTGGAATAACGTGTGCAATTTTCCAGTCGTTGGGTAGTGAGCCGGATTGGAAAGACTTGTTAAATAAGTTACAAAGTGACGTAGATAGTTCCAATGCAAATTCTTTTAGGATACGAGGCAATAATTTATCAGGACCTGAGGACCTCTGTATGTTTAGGTTTTTCAGATGTTTTTCCACTTCGCTCAGTGTACATAATACATTGCACAACTTTTCATTGAGAACATGATCAAATTCCGGAAGAGACTTTTGTTCATGTGTAAATACTGATGCAAAATATGCGTTCATATGTCCCCTCCCCCCCGTTCCCACAAACCGACCCTTTGTGGGGACGGGGAGGGAATGAGAATGAAAACTAAGTGATGGCTAGAATTGTATAAAAGATGTTATCATCATATGCGGTTTTAGTGATTTCCCGGTAAACCCATTACCTCTACGCTAGTTTCTTATTAACCTGTCTATGTATGTTCTGTGTTTCTAGAAGCAGCAACAGCTTTAAATAACATTGAAAAAAAACTCGGAGTAGTTCATACAATCAACGCTTCCAGAATACTTCGTTCAAAGATTCCTCAGTTTCCAAAATACGGCGATGTCGCTCTCTACCAACAGCTCCTGGAAACCAACCAAATCTTGACGAAGCTCGATGGCGCCAAATTCTTGGCGGTTGATCGGGCAGAGAGGAGATTTCGCAACGAAGAGGAGACAGGAAGCTCAATAACACAAAAGGTGGATTCGCTAAGAGATGAACTCGCCTCCGCGGAAGAGGAACTCAGCGAGGAGACGGATCGGGAAATGGAAGATGAGAGAGAGGCGCAAGAGAAGATACAAGAGGCCGTGGAAAGGAACAAAATTATTGCAAAGAAGACGGCATTTGCTCTAACGGCTATTGAGAATTATTTAGAAAAGCTTCAGTTAGACGAAGCCAAGCTTAAGCGGTTCCAATTTTAGCCATTACGTAGAAACGTATGCTAAGGTAAACTTGTTCCTTTCCCCAGTCTCTCTACCCTACACAAGTAATAAGTGAAATTTTAACCCTTCCTTCAAATTATTTGGAAGAAGTGTATCCCTTGTTCGGTGACTAACACACGAGAGTTAATGTAATAACAGTGCTTTGCCCCTTGTCTTGTGCATGTCTACAGAGTGCACGCGGAATTCTCGAAAGGTAACTTGGGTACCTGGCTATCTCTGAAAATTTAATGTCAAATAAATATAAAAAATCATTCAACACACGATCATTCATCCTCACTGCGATGTTCTCTCAGATTTCCCCGAAATCTTGAGGTCAAAGAACTGTAACATGAAACCTACCCACATTACCTTTCCAGGATGTCGCGTAAACTTCTATGGTTTATTTTCGACCTTTTCGAGACCTGAATTCAACCGCAAATGGTTTAAAATATCGTGTGTGCTGCGGCAAAGATGACAAACAATCGCAATATGGATTCTGTTATGTCCCCAAGCGTCACTATAATCGTCCTCATATACGAGTTCTTCTCCAACGTACTAGTTGTTTAAAGTACCTATGACTTTCGCTTTGAGTTTTCCTTGTACAATCTTGTGCAATGAGACTCAGTTTTATCCAGGAGGCAGGTACACAACAGACACCCTAGTGCTGAAGAGTGGTTTATTTCAAAGTTATACACATTGTCTTTACACTAGAATGGATCCTTCGGACTAAAGTGGTCCTTGTTGAATCATATGCATACCTTTTATTTCACAATCCATTAATTCCTCGCTTACCATAACCAGTAAAGTTTAATGGTACCATCTCTTTCTTTTACGTAAGAAATCTCGAAAAGTGGATGTAAAATACGAATGTACACAATTGCATTAAAGTTCTTGTCAAGTCTTCGTAGTGGGTTATTGTTAAAATGGATACTGTAAAAAAACATCTGTATAAATATAATCTCTCACTTTAGTTTAAAATTCATATTTACTTTCGATTCTAAATTTTCCTTGATATTTCATGACCCGCAGTTGTAAGACTGTGCACATAATAGTAGAAACATAAAAGCATTTTTGCTCTTGCAGTTGCACACGACTACTTGACACAGGGTGTCTCTTAAGTCAGAGTCACTACAGATAGCTTCCGCCGACATTTTCAATTACGTACAGTGCATGGGTGTTATTAATGTACAGCGCATGAGATGACTTCATACAACCTTGCGGTGATCAAGTTGACATTTGGAAGCACGTGTGTGTAGGTACATGAATAGAACGTGCTGGGGCATTACCGCTTTAGCAAGCTTTGGTAACTTTTCTTTGGATGAGTAAAAAATATGATCAATCCTTCAAAAAGGGATGCTCCAAAGCTTCCGCCGCCGTGATACGAGTATGCGGGTTAAGATCAAGGCATCTTTCCAAAAGCTCATATGCAGCGTCCTCAATCGCCCAACAACAATTACAACAGGTACAGTCACATTCACTGCCGTCCACATGTATGGATCGAAAAACGTCCGATTGCTCACAAGTTTTAACAGTGAGTTCTTTCTCATTTTCAATCAATATACAGCAATACGGACTTTGTTTTTGACATATCTTGCAACGTCGATGCCACAGATTTGAAGCCACAGGTGTTTGTGTTTGAGGGCTTGACGGAGAAGCCGATCTTCTTTTACGGCGCTTTGCAGGAGTTGATTGGTCTGTGTCTGCACGATTACACTGTTTCACGCAGCACTTCACGGTTGGTTCTTTGCTAGCGCGACTGCGCAGTTCTGTGCAAAGTATTTTAAGGTTGCCACCTGGACTATCAGCGCTACAATGAAGATCCTTGCCTGCAAAGAGCGAAAGTAAAGCGCGGTTAAGGAAACTGATGCAACTGTGAGCTGTGACTCTAACTAAAAACGTGATAATTACCTTAAATAACACACAAGTGAGAGAAAGAATAATGATGCAAACGGCGAGAATTGCCTTCAATAATACTTCTTTCCGGTTACAAAATATATTTAACAAAAAGTAATGGGGAGGGCAGATCTTCTCTTTTAAGCGATCTAAGAGTACATGTTTGAGAAGAGACGGCAAAAGATCAGTTTTTGTCATCTGCCTTTAAAAAGAAACCCAGGCAAATGTGCACTTTAACAGGTCTAACATTTTCCCAAACAGTTCGAATAAGAACTCTAACTTACACAATAACTACAGTCTCGTTGACAAGATATTCTTACCTAATTTGAAAGCTGCTTTTGTAGCGGCATCGGTTCCACACAAAGTCATAATTTGTGCCAAGCTAGTCATATCGTCGTACGCTCTAAAAAATGGGTATCTACCGCTAAGTATAGAAAGAAATATGACCCCCGCTGACCAAATGTCCACGGCTGTGGATTGGTGAGGGTATTTGAGTAACACTTCGGGAGAGCGAAATCCTGGTGTGCCGGCACGTGGAGTGTTTTGATGACCCCTGCAACAAATTTAAATTTAGTGCTTGTCACTGAGGTATGAGAGGACAGTCTCATTTTTAATTAACAATGCGAGAGTTATTCTCACAGTCTATTTTTAATTAAAACTTCATCGTTAAGTATATCATTGGATTTATGTCTTTAAATTACATGCTATGATGTTGTACAACACATCTGTAGATCATGACTTTCAAAATTTACCATGGCATTAGACAAGGCCACACCTTCCTTCAAACAAAGATCCTTGAAAGCAGATGATTTTGAACCCAACCCCCAGTTCAAAAACAAATTTCAAGGACTTTTCCAGGCCTCATATTAATTTTTCCAGGGCTCCAAATTTCACCTCACACCCTTTCACTCCAAGATTTTAAAATCAATTCTCGTTACAGTCTACATACGTTTCTGAAACGTAAGTTCAAGTAAATTCTCAAAACTTTGTTTGTCGCGACTATAACTACATTGTTTTAGTTCAATTTGTACGCGTTACTTACCTATGATTGATATCATGTGATAATGACGTAATTCGAAAACCTCGTGTTGTTGTTTTTTGGTTTTGGTTTTAGTCGCCATTTTTGTTTAAAGTAAAGATTCGATTAGAATCAAAATACAGTTCTCAAACAGCAAAGAGTGTTTGGTCAGTGGTAGATCACTTTAGGTGACATTGTTGCTTGAGTTAAACAGATTTCAAGGACTGGAAAGTCCTGGAATATGTCAAAATATGAATTTTTCAGACTTTTCAGACATTAAAGGACCCATATTTGTAGTTCATGCATAGCAACCCTTAGCCTTACACTTTCAAAATCTACCTGCAAATAATTATATCAATAATCTGCTCTATGTGCCATACATCTCTTTCAGTTTTGCCACTGAGAATGTAGAGTAACAGAAAAAAATATCTTGTTGTGAATTAGTTTACCACTGAGCAACTTTGCTGAGCTACACGGACACTACTATATGACATTTCTACATGCTTCTAATGCTAAGATGAAGAATGTCAAAGCTTCATGTAAGTAAACAGAATGAGAGAGAAAGTAAATGATGTATTAATATTTTTAGTAGTAGCTACATATGACACTCCTGGGGATGGGAGGGTTAAACTACAAATAACTACAATGTACATGTATGTTCCTGTGCAAAATTTTAATGATGACACCAAAAACAGAAACAGTCTAAAATGTTTGGTAACTAACCTTGCCATACAAATGGTGCAGACCTCTTTGGGACCATGTCGTAAGGGACACAGCACTTGTAGTGGCTTGAATGAAGCCTTCTTAGATTTTGAATTCTCATTAGAAGTTCTTCTTAAATTTGTTGTTGCACTTTTAGCGGGAACTTTAAAGTCTCTGGTCTGATGGGTAAACTGCCAACTGGTTGAGTTTACACAACGTGGCTTTAAAACACATTCTCCTGTAACTTTACTCGCTGGCTGCTCTTTGTGTTCAGTCTGAGGGGACAAACGTGAGCTACGGCGTCTGGGCTGAGCTGTGCTCTTGGGAGAGTGATGGCTACCTCGTTTGGGTTTCTTCATTTGTTCTTTAGGAGAGTCTGGAAGTATAAGTAATACAACAATTTAATTTCTTTCATGTCCATTTGCAAGTACTTGCTTGTTTGATGGAAATTGAATAAAGGTGGAAAACAGTCAAATTTACATAATTGTCAGCTATTAAATTGTTTTGTTATATTTTAAAGTTAAAGAATGTATGACTGTATTTGTTTCAACACCAAAAACCATGGCTACAAATTTAATTATTTCATCATCACAAATGTATACTTTTTCTGTAATTATTGCAGCTTTTTCATCAAACATAGCTGTGTGATTTCCTGAAAATGAGTCACGCAATTCATTTGACAGGTATGTTTCTGTAACTGGATATGGTTGTGACTTCCAAATACATGCATAAATGAAACACATACCCAGAAGAGAATCACAACTGCCAGGTACCTTCATAGCCAGGCCAAAATCTACAAGTCGGTACCTATAATTCAATGCCAGAGATACATAACATCAGAATACCAGATTTGACACTCACAGAAAAAGAGAGTGAAATCAAAGGGTTTATTACATCATTGTCCCAAAACACTTGGTAGGCATTCTAGAGGCAACAGCCAAGGATGCATGGTTTCATGCACAAAGGGGTCAATACAAATGTAGGTATATAATGCAGGGCTTCATGCAAGCTCAATATTTTTAAAATGAGTCTGAATAGGGAATGAGTAATCTTAAAATGAATGCAGTTGCTCTGGAAGGGTCTGTATTATTCAAATCTCTTCTTACCTTGTTGTATCTCTACAATAAAGAAAGTTGCTCGGTTTCACATCTCTATGAATGACTTGGAAAGAATGAACTCTTTGCAAAGCAATAAACAAGTTTTTCATGTATTCCTTGATTTCACAAACACTCATCTCAAGAAAGTACTCCTGAAAAAAAAAAATATTTATAACAACTTCAATTCACTGGTCTGCTAGCCTGGTGCAGAGAGATAATTATCATGTAAACAAGAAGAAAATGGTTTTGAAACATTCACTTGGGTAAAGTATATGGAAAACAGCCTTAAACTAATGCAAAGTTAGACCACCATGTGCATGTATGTACATAAATTACCAATATACTCAAAGGAAATGACTTCTTTCACTAACTTACCTGAAAATTCTGATGTGGAAAGTACGGTAAAACAAATACTATATTGTCATCACGTCGTAAAGTTGATTGAACACCAATCACATTGTCAGTACCTCTGTGAAAAGAGAAGGAAAGTGATAAAGCAAGCTGTAGTTTCTACATCTACATGAAGTCTAGTATTATTACCTGCATTAATATAATTAATAGTTTCATCATATCCATTTACAAGCAATTTCAAGTGCTAGCATTCGTATCACATTTGTAGTTTCAATGATCTTAGGCCTTCATCTGTTAACCCCTTTACACCTTAACAGGAATATGAATATTCTCCATACTGTTCTCTATTCCTTTCCTAAGGTGCTGACAAGGAGAATTACATTTTGTTTAAAAACCAAGAGCTTCTTTAGTGGGACTGGGTTATCTTTTCTGTTATCCTCATGACCTTAAAATTTGATTCAGAGGTGATATTATACAAGACATTAGATACTATTTACTCTGAAGGATCAAAGGATTGAAGTTGTATCAACTTGTACAGTACTGCCCGCATGTACCACAGCATTACATGCCCTTGACACACAAGCAGATGCCAAGTGCTGCATCACTGCAACATGCAAATTGTGCATCTTTATCAGTTCTGCTCTCTTATACTCCTAAGATGTCCATATGAACTCTCCTTGCTGTCTTCTATACACTACATACATTTCATATCATTTAGGCTTGGAGAAGTTGGCTTTATTCTATATTAAAGGCACAAAATCACAGTTAAGCACATGTGTGCCAATAACAGCCTTCAGATTAAATTCTTTGGGTCAACCCTCAATTAATATGCGATATCGCTCAAGCAATCAACCTGAACATGCTGTAATATTTGGCCATCCTTTGATCTGACAGTGCTTGTTGAGTTGTTTGATCATTGAAGTGCAGAGATGTCATACGATGTAATTGTTTCCTTGGGGGAAAGTTTGATCTCCCTGATCTTGCCAAGAAAGGACTGAGTGTTCTTAAGGTGATGTGAAGAACAACCTACCAAAGGGCGAAGGATGTCAGCAGCATGTTTCGCTAAGTTGTACGTGACCGAACCAATGCTGCTTACAATCAGCCGAAGTGGGATAGGTTCTGGCTTGTGTATTTTAGGGAGGCCGTAGAAAGCTGGGACTGATGGCTCTGAAGGAGGATCCAACTTCCTTTTAAGACTGACCTTAATAGTGCCCTCGGTGTAAATTTTGTTGGTGAAGGTGCAAACCTTCTTTCTGTAGCCGCTGGTTGGATTATAGCCAAGTGGTTTAGAGGTTTTCTTATCATCAAGGAGAGATTTGCATTTTTTTTTTTTTTTGCATTTTGAAGGCTGTGTGATATGGCCAAAACATCGATCGTTCGTCTGTAATTTTCCAGTATTTGAATTATTTTCTTTTTATCATAATTATTCTCAACTGGATGACTGATACAATTCAGAGCCATTGTTAGGAGAAATAACTCATCAGTCACTCCCTAGAATTGATGAGGAATAAATCTCCTCAAGTATCAAAATTAGTCTGATATTAGCGATCATGTAATGTTTTTCTCTCATTGTTGAAGAGAAACCTTTTCAACCTACCCAATGTCCTGAAGGCATTTCAATTCATTTTCAATTCTCCCCGGGCCACTTGTAGGTATGATGTGTTTCAGCGCACAGAATTCATCCGGTATTCTGTTCATTTTTGCCAAATAAACATTACTAAAGGTACCTGGGGGATAACAAAATTTATGTCCAAATGTAAGAAAATGAATTAAATATTTAAACTTTCGTCTATTTCCTTTAAAAGTGCTATTACAATGATAATCCCTTCTGCAACCTCTCTTAATTTTGTATCCAAAACAGCAACTTACTTTGAAAAGCTTGAAAATCTTGTGCTATATACAAAATGACATGGGGCAGGGTTTATATAATTATGTACAGTACTGCACATGGCATAATTATAAAAGTAATGAGTAAATCCCCTCATTTCCTCTCTCAGCTTTACTAACACAAGTTGACAGAAACATTATCTGATAAGGATGGATAGTTTACCGCAAATCAAGGTTTATGAAAGCTGATTGTTCTGATTGACATAGTGTTTTTCAGCTAGGAATAGAATAAAAATTTGGAGAGAAAGTGAAAAATAGATTTTCATCCTAGTAGACATCTAAACCTAAAACACTGGATAAAAGATTCAGAAACTTACCTTCTCCCACTTTTGAAAGTAAGGTGAACATATCTGTAAGGTCTGGGATCTTTTTTAAAAGTTCTCCAGCTTTGCTATCTCCAAACCCTGGCAATGAGTTTTGTTTTGTAAGGTTAGAGGAAAGAAATAATTTATTTTGGCTACCAAACTAATAACTGGATGATCATACAAAACTGTTCACAAAATTGGTTTCAAATCTTTGCATGGCCTGTAAGGGATGGTTTGTTCATATGTAGCTAAGCAACAGTCTGAGACAGTGAAAACTTTTTCATTAAGAGACATACGGTGTTCTCGTCAGATGCAGACAGGGCTCGACACCAGTAACTTTTCAATTTACTGGCCAAGAGGCTAGTGCATGGTGATAACGTAGATGTTACCAAACTGGCCAGTGGAAATCGAAAACCACTGGCCAAAACTGAATTTCTACTGGTCTGTGGCTAGTTGGCTACCGTTAGTGTCCAGCCCTGTCAGAGTAAAGCATATGTACGGTCAACTTCATATAATATTTGTTTATGATAGATACATGCACGTTAATGCAGCTAAAATTAGAATATTTCTATTCAGTGTCTTAACAGGTCGTTTAACTTCGGCTAAGTTGCAACATACATTACTTTGAAAGTGGATTTGTGAGAGTATTTAACTATCGTAACTCATTTTCGTGTGCATAGTGAGCTTAAACTGTGTCTATGTCAGCCTTTGGCTAGCCTGTGCAATGTAGCTTCGGCTTTTATCACGATGAACAGTTCTTCTGTACATGTTCGTTCAACAACATTTTAACTATCTGAGGTTTGAGATGCAATGAATATATGAAGTTCATATACTTTGAACTGCGGTATTAGATACGTATGATGTGCGATCCTCGCAGTAGATAGCGCTATTTATGCAATAGCGAAAATCAGACCTGAAAAAAATCGCAGAGGTCAGTGGTTCGAGTCCCGTACAGGCCTGATTTTTTTCAGGTCTGATTTTCGCTATTGCATAAATAGCGCTATCTACTGCGAGGATCGCACATCATACGTATCTGAGGTTTGTTAACCTACCTTCTCCTACTTTTGGTGTCGAATGCGGTGAAATACGTTTCCTTTTACCCTTCTCAGAAGGCGAACAACTATCAGCATGAGCAGCAGTCTTTACTGATGTTGAATTCGTGTTTTCGCCAACAGTCGAATCGTGGTCGCTTTCCGAAAATTCTATTCCAATGCTTGCCTCAGTTCTGCATTCTTCCAACGCCATCGTAATCACTAAAAAAATAATTCCTTATTTAAAAGTAATAGTTCAATCGGTTGTTCTACTAATATAAGGTATTCGGTGATAAAAAACAGTACATTCTTGAATAAAACGTACACTTAGAATATTACAAAACGACTCTCAAATGAACTGGACGCCAAGGGATTTACTATTCCCGCCAATTTTCCCCCCAGTTGAACTATGGGAGAAGAAAATTTTACTCCAAGGGGGTAGGAGTGAAGTGGTATCTAGCTGAGTGACAAAGAAGACATCCTTATTGATACCCAAATTCTTTTGCTGAATTTTTATACCCCTGGTTTTTTTAATGCTAGAAAAAATCTCATATTTAATACTACTAATTCCTTTCAATAGACAAAAATCAAGGGGAATAAGGAAATATGTGAACGTCTTGATTGAGGTAAACAAGTTGCCAGCGTGGCGCTTGATATTAGAACGATTTTGATTGGTTAACTCTCAATGTACCAATCCTCTACCATGTTTCATCCTGTGAACGCCTGGAAGAAACTGAAGTTCACGATAAAAATAATAGTCTCCTTCTATGATTTTTTGAACTCTGAACTCAGTGTAAACTAACTGCAATTGAATAGCTAGACGCTCTCAAAACATCTCTGGGAGTTCAAGTTTGTATAAAACATGAGCTGGCCAGATAAAGCAGTGTTTTTTCCTCGTGGCAACAGAGAAGGATAGTATCGCTCGAAATTACTTCCAATGGCTTCAAGCTCAAGATTATTTTTGTTTATCAAGGAGTTGCACTGTTTGTGTAACAACAGTGAGGGCTCGCAAATGCTTTGTTAAAGTAAACATCTTGGAAGAACCCAGGGTTTTATAAAATACTAATCATGTTAGAGAGTTATATCACTCCGCTTTTGATGAGCTACGTCGACAAGTACATAAAGAATTTGAAGCCTTCAGATCTTAGTTTGTCTCTATGGGGCGGAGATGTTGTCTTGTACAATTTAGAACTAAGACTTGATGTTTTGGAAAAGGTGAGGAGGTTTGAAAATAATTTTTTTAACGTGTCAGGAAGCATAAATAGAGTTAAAGCAAGTATATATCGTTGAACAGTTCTTTTGGTGAAAAGCTCTTTCCCTCGGCTTCATTACAAGCTGGCACTGTGCCCGTGGACAAGGTTAAATGAGTCCCGTGTTCCGATTGGCTACTCATCTAGGGAAGAAGGGCCCATCTTGTTTCTTTGGGATTACCTGCTTTGATCTTGTGTCAGGAAAAAAAAATTGTGTGGAGCCTCCATGAAATCATTTCATAATTTTAGACAGTGTGGGCAATGGAGTTACATAATGAAGACAGTCACAACAAAGAAAACAGAAACAAGTTTTGTGAGTTTATCATGCCATAGTAGTGGGCATTCTTTTTCAGCAATGACAAATAAACAAGTCATTGCTGATACTTATAGTGTTATATTGAAATCTTTTTGCTCATACAATAAATCTTTTATTGACCAAGCTTGTGCAGCCAAAATGACTGGTTGTTAGCCTCATTCTTTTTTTGTGTTTTTATAGACCTCATTGTGTTCTTGGTGCATAAAAAAAAAAAACACAAGAAAAGAAACTCAGCCCATATCCAGCCCTCTTAACCTCACGCTGGGTCAATAATGTATATGTTAATACCTATCGGTGTGGTAAAATTTACTGGTAGAACAATTTTTTGATTGAGTATGGTAAAGTCAAAGTAATCCCAACTGCCAGTGAGAACAAGGGGAAATGTCACCTAGACCCAGTGACAACTCAAAGGAGGTACAAGTAAATGGGCGTTATTGCAAATAAGCAAATTTGGATTAGAATGTGAGTGGTTTTGAATCTGCCTGAGATTTTTATAGACTCATGTCAGTGCTTAATAAAGCAAAACCATTGTTTAGTTTAGATTGCTTTTAATATGCAATTGTTGCCTTAGTTCTAGTTTTTCGATGAGCATCTCCCTCTCTGATAAGGAGAGATTGATTGTGACATTTATTGTGAATACACTTATGCTCTTCCAGGAACTACACTTGCCAATAACATTTCTCAGCGGGAAGATTCACAAGCTGCAGATTCACATCCCATGGACAAAGCTGGGATCAGAGCCAGTTGAGATCACCATCAGCACTTTAGAGTGTGTTGTTCAGTTGAAATATCCAGATCATAGCCCCAGTGACCAATCGAGTATGGCCTCTGAAGCGGCTTCAACAACAGGTGAAAATGTAAAAGAAGACCTTCAAAAAGTAATGGAGGGCAAAGAAGAGGTCCCTCCTTCTGGTTATGTTCAGAGTCTTGTCAACCGGGTGATCAACAATGTATCAATTTGCGTTAACAATGTTATATTGAAATACTTGGAGGATGACATTGTTTTGTCCTTAAACATTAAATCAGCTGAAACATTCAGTGTAAACAGCAACTGGGAGAAAGCTTTTGTTGATGTTGTTGCTCCTGACTTTTTGCTTCAGAAAGTATGCAATATTTCTGATCTGACCATCTGTCTTGATAAGCGAAATTCCAGTGGAAAAATAGAGCTTTACCAAGATCCACTATTGTACAAGTGTGGTCTAAGCTGCCGAATGATGTTGAAGTTTGACAGCCTTCTCAGACCCATTGAAACAAAGTTTAATGTGTATTGTGAGTCTGCGGACATTTCACTCACAGATCAACAGCTTCCAATGTTTATGAGATTGGCTACTCTGTGTCTCAGTCTATATATTGGAACTCTAGATTTGCCAGGTTCTGAGTACAAACCGCACCCAGCAAAAAAGATAGTCGAGCAACAAGCCATTTCTAATCCAAATCTGAGTTTTACATCAGAACCACAAGAGTTCTCTACTCAGACAGGAAACCAGCAAAACCCAAATGATGAAGATTGGGTTAACTGGATGTGGTCTTTGGTTCCCAATCTCACAGATGATCAGTCAGCCCAGCTTGCAACACCTCCACCAACACCTTTACTGCTCGCAGGATTTTATGTTTCTCATGTGACAATCACCATCAAGTTGACGGGAAAGGTCAGTGATGGGAATTTTTTCGGTGGACAGAGATTTGAATTCAAGCCTATGTTGAGTTTTGAATTGTCAGGAGGAGCGGGTGAGATTGTAATGAAAGGAGATGAGTTTTTCGACGCTCAGCTTGGCGTATCATCCATTATGGGGTGGTGTATTGGTGACTGTGTTTGTCGAAGTTTGGATGTCTCTTCATCAAAAGAAGGAGTTGAGGCAGATGATAAGGTACATCTTCAAGTCACTTATTAATCAAGTCACTTATTACTCAAGTCACTTTTTATTCACGGTAAAGTTATGAAGGACCTCGTGGAAATACAACTTTTATCATTACACACTGTAATGCTGAGGTAACTAAACTTCAATCAGTAATCTTGAAGAAATTAGCAAACATGCAGATGACCAGTAAGCTAAAAGTGTTTTCAATTGGTTAATTTAAAAATGAGTTAATGCTAGAATGATTTTGAACTTGTTGAATAATTTGTGTTTTCTTTGTTTTTGGTAAAGTGTAATGCAAAGAGCAACACATTTAATAAAATTTAACTCCAAAATGCAGTACATGTATGTTGGACTCATTAATTTTATGGTGCTATTACATGTGAAAGAATCTCTTTATCTTGCAGCTTAAAATGTGCATTTGTATCACAAGCACTGTTGAAATTATATATACAGCTTTTATGGGTATTCTGTTTTTTGAATTAAAAACAAGGTTCTTCTTTGAATTCTTTTCTAGGAAGATGTTTTTATCACCATTGCAAGTCATAAGGAGGATTCCTCTGATTCATCAGGATTTCTTACAGGTTCCTTGTTTGACAATGGAGAAAGATCTTCGCTAGAGATTCCTGACCTGACATTTGATGCAGAGGAATTTCTAAAGGTACACAACGAGAACCTTGCCCTCAGGAGATATGGGGCTTTTTTTGCCGACTATTTGTATGCAATGGAAATTGAACCAGAGAGGGATCAGGATACTGAGGAGAACCAACTGGAAGGGTTAGAGGTTTTTGGTGAAATACGAGTTGTAAAGGAGATGTCTTTCAAACGGTTGATTGTGGGCCCAACACATTTACAGCTCTCAACAAGTATGATGCATAGAATGGAGCTTGTTTTGAAGCTGTCATTTGATGATATTGTTCCAAGAAAAGGTGTGACTTTTTAACCTCTTCTCTTTATGGAGACTACTTTAATGGACTCACATGTGCACATCAAACATACAACTTATCTCTCTGTATCTTGTGTCCCTGGATGGACACATATGACCTGATATTCAATGTGTCAATTGATGGTATTTTTTACTGTGACTAATTCATTTGAAAAAACAGACTTCCCCATTTTAACATTCATGACAATATACTCATTAAACCTCTGTGAATTTGGTCCTTGGTGGGGAAGTGGCCTGGCTGTTTACCAGGGGTGAAAACAATATTTTTTTTTGATAAATAACTTCAATAATCAGAAGAAGGAACTTGGTCATCAAACAGAGAAACATGTCAAGCAAGTTATCACCAGCACAGAACAAAGAAAAAGTCTAAGTGATTGAAAATGATTTTAAACCACATAGCTTTGTGCTTTGATGTGGCATGGTGTGAGGTCAACTCTTCAAGGAAGATTCAGCATTTTGACTTTATCCCAGAGTTTTGACCAAATGAGTAACATCTTTCTTAAGCTGAGAATCTTCTTGAATGGTTTTAAATTTGTGGCCACAGCCTCCAAATAGGAGTTTGATTCGAGCATAATTATAATAATAAACATGAAGGCTACATACTGTAATGTATGATGTGCAGTCTATTTGTTATTACTAAAAATAAATACATTTTTATTTATTAAATGTTGTAGAGAAATGTGAGCCATTTTATGATGAGTTCATTGAGAAACAGCTTCTGGCAGGCAACATTCCAGCTCAAAATTCTAGCATCACCTTGGTGTCATTTACTGCTACTCTACCAGCTGCTGACCATGGAAAGATGCCACTTGGTCCTCCACTGCAAAACACAAACAGCACCACAGAGCTACACACAGTCTCCTCACAGCTATCATTACAGAGCATCCCTGATGTAAATATGAAACAAATAACTTAGTAAAGCTGCCTCAAAAGTTTACCATACATGTAGGAAGGAAAACTGATGAACATGCACTTACTGCAGATTTGATTTTGAGGTGTCATTTGTTTATCCATGCTAGTCAATCTCTTGGATTTCTCTGTTCGTTATTTTAGTATATTTTAGCAGGGTTGGAGGAGTCTTAAAAATAATATTAATTTTTTCTTCAAAGAAGTCCACAGAGACTGAAAGTTTTGGTAATGCTCAGCACTTGCTTTACATTTCTTCCCTTAAATATGTAATAAAAAAAGTTTCCTTCCATGAAGTGGGTAATGTGGGATGAAGGTTTAGCTTCATTGTTAGCCCATTTCAGGTTGCTCCAACTTTCTTAACAGGTTTGGGTGCATACTCAGGCAGAAAGGGGGGTGATTAAGTGATGTGGTTTACTGATAGGTGAAGGTGTCTTTCTTTTCAGGTTGAAGATACTGATGCTGTTCACAAAGTGGTCTGTATCGTTCAGATCAGTAGAATTGATGTCCAAGTAACAGAACCGATGTACCCAACAGAACTTACTAAACTAGCTATAGCAAATGCAGAATACCCTGCTGGGAAAGCCATGCTTATGTGCACATACTCTGATGTGTCTGCCCAGGTTGGTAATTTTGATACAGCAGTTTATTTACTAGTAGAGATCTGTAACTGTTTTTGTCCAAGAAAATACACCACAGTGCCCTCCTTGTTCTTTTTAATTTTGTATTTTTGCTTGCTTTGCTCTTAGACATTAATTTTGTTACTACCATACACCGTTGTTGGAAAATTGCTCAAATACAGGTATATTTAATGGTCATTATCAGCAATTACAAGGCCACCCACAGTTTTAAATTATTAAATAAATTCAAGTATGCAAGGCTTGTTTATTAGTTTCCAATCTGAAAACGCAAACTTGTTTTTCTATTCAATCCTCTTTTCTAGTTTTTTGGCATTCAAGTCAGTGTGACGCAGCTTCAGTCCGATGTAACAGATATGCCTCTGGTTAACATTATTCCACCACTCAGTATGGCTGGATCATTAAGATTTTGTATTTTGCCTGAATCTTGGTAGGTCTTTCTTATTGGTATAATTTTTGCAACAATATTGTTTTATAATGTATGTATTGAGGATGCAATGAAAAATCAATTGGGAAGATTTAGTCTGAATCTATACTCTTAAGTTTGATTTTCTCTGGTTGAATCACCATTCCTTTACCACACTTTATGTTGAATAGTTTTCACCCCTGCAAGGATTTCAACTCAGTAGTTTTTTTTCCAAGCGCTCAGTTAATGAACATCATCCCGAACCTGCAGGATCAAGCAATTAAGGAATGGTGAAACAAAGGACTGCTTTATTTTACATCACTCTGCCAATTCTGATGCTCTGCTGTTTAGAATTTGAACAGCTTATCTAATCTAATAGTTTAATGGTCTTTATTTCCAAAAGATAAAAGAACATGATTGTCTTAAGTTACAAACCACATTGCTCTACATTGACTAATTCATTAGGAGTAACTACATTAAAGCTTAGTCACATAATTATTAACCAATCAATGATTTAATGTTCAAAGTGCATAGTCTGTGGCAATGTTAGGCCTGTGGCTAGACTTTTTTTCTGACTGTGAGTATAGGAAAGTCATATTACCGGTATGTGAACTATCATTGATTCATCACTTCATGGGTTTATTATGAACCAACATAATGAACAGCTCCCAATTGGCTTGTTAGCTCAGTTGATAAAGCACTGCTCCGGTATCGCAGAGGTTGTGGGTTCAAATCCTGTACTGGCCTAATTTTTTTTTTCAGGCCATATTTTCCCTTCTGCTTAAGTAGTGTTCACAACTGTGAAAATTGCAGTTGTATTCAAACTTTTTCTTGTCAGGTTATAGCTGGATGATTTAAGACATAGCATGATTGTAGACAATGGTTCACCAGTAGAATGGGAGACACATTCAAAAACTGGAACAAGATACAGAGTGATTTAGTTGGCCTGCCTTGATCAGACAGTTCCATCTTATTTCACAGTAGAGAGCCCACCCTGTACAGCCTGTGATCAGAATGCACCTGTACATGTATAATTCATGTACATAAGAAGCCTTGTTTTAACGAGATTGTTGTGAATTTTTGTAGGGGTGGAGCAGACCTTCTCAAGAAAGAGGCTCATGTGGAAGTCCCAAACTTGCAAATTCTTTTGACAAAGCCTCAGTTTGTACTCATGTCTCACATTGCTGACTCATGGGCAAGCAGCTTGACAAAAGAAGGAAAAATGGCTCCAATTTCTAGAGCAGTTGTTGATTGTGTGTTCTATGATCCTAATGGTGAGCATACATGTACCTTGATGTGTTGGTGGTCAAGTAATTAGAGCATTACATTTACCGCGATCACTAAAGATATTAAACATACAATTTTTAATCTTTTCCACCAGAGATCAGTGTAGTATGAATGTAAAACCTTCGTTCAGTGGTAATTTATCACTCTGTCAAGCAGCCAAGTCATGCCACTCATTATCAAGTATGGGATGATTATTAATTGGACACAAAACAAAGCTTTACAAAGAAAGCATCTTTTCCAAAGATAGGATAAAATTGATAGCACCTGGGAGATTTCTGGAAAACATACCCCAAGTCTTACAGCAAAATGACTGTAACGAACGCACCGGTAATGTTTCTCAATGGTTACCCGAACCATACACTTATTCTTGACCAGTGGTTTTTGTAACAGAATTTAATTACACTAAATCTAACCACCGACGATAAATGATAACAAACGAAATAAACCCGGCGAAATTAAAGCTTAAAACATACCTGACGGTTTGGATCTAGAGAAACATGAGACAAAGCATTGCGAGCACACAACGACAACTACGTAACATTAATGAAACTTTTCGCGCGAAAACTAAAATATATACTGACGCGAGGAGACTGAACCCTACAATATGGATGGACCGCTGGCCCTCAAAATATGTTGTAACAATGATATCAAAATGGTATTCAGCATTGTGCATTATGCATTTTGATTACTGTAAGCCTACAGTACATGTACAGAGTACATCACTCTACTGAATTTTAAGAATCCACACAAACAAGTTGCATTATAATAAACGGGGTAAGGTAATTTTGGTTTTATCAACAGAGTTGATAATTAACAATTATTCCACGAGCGCGCGGTGGATATGAGATGATAGATAGCCAACGAGGCACTACGCGCCTTGTTGGCTATAATCATCTCATATCCAACAAGCGCGAGTGGAATAATTGTTTTATTAAAAACGTTGAATTAAATTATTAAATTTTATTAAATTTTTAGCTCCCTTTTAATTTTAAGCTGACACGTACGCTTACCATAAAATTATTTGTAGATTATGGTATATTGGCTCATATACCATAATGGCTAAGCCAATAAAAAGTCTTGAATTGCATTATCCAATAATCTAGTTTTTAATAATGTAAATTAGCCACCGTAAAGAGTTTCAAAATTGACGTTTCGAACGGTAGTCCTCCGTCAGAGCGAATGGCGGCCGGGGCACCGAGAAGTTTTGATGAAGTATGGGGTGATTAACGGGATGACTAAAGCTCGTAACGCCAGCTTTGAAACTCTACGGTGACCAATTTACTGTATCAACTTAGTCGATAAAACCGAAATTAACTTGCATCATACACTGACCTGGGTGTGCTGTAGGTGTAACCCACAGTGTATGTGTACCTGAAAACGAAGCAATGGTTTTAATTTCAAAATTTCAGATCAAGACTCTGTGGGAGGCATACAGCCTGAGTTGCAGTTTAAAGTTTCAAACATCCAAATGCAGTTTTGCGAGACTCAGTCTGTTGTTGGCGCTAGTGGTTCAGTGGGAACTGTTTTTGCCTCTCTCAAGTCCTGTGAGTAATCCCCTGCAGTGAAGTTAACTGAGGAAAAAAAACATTACTAACCGTACTCTAAGTTTAGCTGTATTCTAGACATGACAAAAAATTGGAATTTTCTCTCTTCATTTTACTGCTCACATAGTATCTGGTAGATACAAGTCCAATCTCGGTCAAAGCCTAAATAATTTCAAACGTCGTTTTCTGTTATGAATTTAATTTTAATCCACTTCTGAAAATCAATTTTTTACTTAATATTTCATGACATATTTTATGAACACTATTTGGCAGAGCTCTTAGGACTTGTATAGCATTAAACTTACCTAAAATTGAAATTAGGTGTCTCCTTTTTGTTAGGTGACTCTGGCACTACTGAAACAACGCCTTTAGTTAAGGGTCCATCAGACACCTCGGAAATGTACACAGGCAATCTCTTTCGGTCAGCACATCTGCAGGAGAACTTTATTGAAAGTACAGAACCAGTTCTAAGCTTCACTGTACAGTTACCCCAGGCTGCTTTAAGGTGTGGTGACCCTGTGGCACAACCAGGTAAATTTTGATTTCAGTGATACATTTCCTGGCTTATTCATACTCCTTCGTGTCCGTGAAGGACTAGTGAAAAAGGGAAACAACTCAAATCAGCATATTGCTCTTACAGGCCGTTTTGATTTTCGTCCTTTCACTCCACGAAACCAGAGTTCGTAGAGGTGACAGAACTGCAGTCTCCTCTTTCCGTGAACGCATGCAACTTAGGGAAATGAAGCTGCGCTAACTTAAACAGTCCACACACTTTCCCCAGTAGTTTTCGCTCTTAAGGATTTTTACGTTTTACTTCCAGCTTTTATATTATAACATTTACCGTCCCCAGTTTTTGCATTAGTGCCAAATAATCAACTTCCAAATATAGGCACTCGGTCTGTCGGTCAGCTAGCCCCATCAGTCAGTCAGTCAGTCAGTAAACCGGTCCTGCTGTCAGCCAATAGGCGGCCAGCTGGTCTGTCGATCAGTTAATGAAAGAAAATGTTCTGCGGCGCCCAAGGGTAAGGGAAAACTTAGCTGGTTATTAATTAGACTTTGTATTTTCTTGCTTCAGCCATTACCATGCTTACTCAAAGAGCGTACCATCCTCAACCCCCTTCGTTGCTTCGCCTAATTAAGGGATGACGCTCTAAGCGTCAGCTTTCCAATTTCGCCACTTAAATTAACCTTCATTTATTAACTTCACCTTGGTAAGTAACCTTAGTCAATCAATCACTTTCCAATATTCTTGTTTTGTTTGTTTGTTTGTTTATTATTATTATTTTTTAATTTTTCTCAACAGCCCCACCGAGTGGTGATCAGTTGAGCGGTATGGTCCTGTTTCATCTGAAGGGTATCACAGCTTGCCTTGATCCTCTGCTTTACAAGTGGATTTGTTACAAGTCTCCTGCACCAACAGTAACATCCCGCCACAAAGCAGAACGAGAGAGGACTAAGACGACTCGGCACCAGTCTCTCCCCAAAACTCCATCAGCCACCACCCCCAGAAAGAAAACATTTGCAAGAGGTGGGTAGATTGTTGAATCGATGCTAAGAACTTGTCTCGGTCTCTGTAAGAATCAAACAACTCAGGAAATGTAATTTTCACCCCCGAAAACGCATACTTCTTTGTGGACATGCGTTTTCGTCAATCATCTAAAACGTCTGGAAACTTAACGCTGTTGAAAGTGTAAACGATTTAAAAAGGCTTCAAAAGTGGAGTCCATAAAAAGGTATCGCATCCAAACACACCGACTAACTGTTGTGGACCAAGCTGAACACGGAGGCCATTAGAACGCTGGATCAAAAATGTCTCCAGGCGACGTTTTCATGCAAATTGTTGTGAATGATTGGCGAAAAGCATCAAATGCAAAACGATGTTGATCAAGTGAAACGCCTGTGTCTGGATTCTGTTCCTCCATCCTTTGGCAAATGTTTTTAATATAACAACATTTTAGTCAACATCTAAGTAGCAATACTCCAGCTTGAAGAGACCCGGGTTTTATTCTTGGAATGCGCTGTGCTGTTTGTTTTCCAGAAAAAAAAAAGCATGATGACTGTTCTTGAAAACTAGTCTAATATCACACACAATTGTCTTTTAGGGTATGGTTCTGTTGCCTCTCCAGCGAAAGAAGAAAAAACAGGTAGCAAACAAGACGAAAGTCCAACAAAACAGAGTCCACCAAGTGAAAGCCCACAAGAAACAGTGGATGGAAGAAAGATGTTGGAGAATTGGTTATTTGACAAGCTTTCCTTCATTACGGCAATGGAACTCCAGGTCAGAAGGTGTCTCTATTCAAACATTAGATAGGTATTTTTAAATGCACTTTTCATGGAAATTGATCACGTCCAGTTAATGTACCCGCTAGCGATACATTGGAATTAATTGTATCAGATTCGGGATACTTTGAAAATTGTGGAAGACGACATGGTCACGGTACGTATGACCATTTCCGAATTACCCTTGGCCTCTTTTTCAAAACGAGGACTCCATACAAACGTATGGAGCGGGTAGTTGTTGACAATCATTCACTTGACTCTGATGATGACTTCCGCACAGGTTGTCGAAACGTCAGTCACTACCACCGACAACAGTTCTTCTCAGGACTACACTCACCCGGACGATCAGACTACACCTTCACATGTTACCCCCGGGTTCAAACCATTTACTGCAAAACGAGGACTGGTGCTCAACCTTTCTAGTGAAAATGAGTTTAATTTGCACGTGAATGAAAACGTATTATCATATGAAAGGATGGGCACCAGGACTCGCTTTGAAAAATGAGGCCAAAAGTAATTTGAAAATGGGTTATTCGAGTAAGGGGAACTGGGTTTTGCGTAAGACTTGTCACTGCCGATGCGTTTAGCTTAAGGAAGACTGAAGACGGTCCTCTGTTTTCATGTTTTCATTATTATTATTATTTTTTTTTTTGGCGAGTATCATACCTGACATCAATTTTGATATTGTTCTTTCGTCGAACAATGAAATTTTTTTCCAAAAAGAGACTGCGGAAGGGAAAACAAGTCACTAACTTTTACCCTTTGTCAACCAAACTCTAACTCTGTTTTTTTTTTTTTTTAACGATAGAACCCCCGAAATTTTTCGTAACGTTGTCTTACAAATTGGTTGCGAGAAGTGTCAAACGTATCAGGGTGAAGAAGTTTCCTTTACCCGGATATAACGTCCAATTCCCTAAACTAGTCAAATGGGTAACAACAGCTTTAACCCTGAGAACCCTAAGAGTGACTAGTTTCTAATTTCTTTTCACAATGTCGCACCTGTATCACACGGTAAAGTCACGAGAATTAAGGAAATGATCATCACCTTAAGAAGCTCTTGACTGACACACAAAGTCTCCTTGTCAGTGCCTTAGGAAATCTATAGAGAACAGTATGGAGAAAATGCACACTGATGTTGAAGGTAGAAAGGGTTAAGGGAGAGCCACCAAGTACTAACACCTAACTCAACTTTAGGTCCACATCAAGAGTGCTGTACTGTTCCTGCCAGAGAAGCACATTGCCCACGAACTTGAAACCAACGATATTGCCTGCACGTTTTCCACTCAATCCTTAAAAACGAAAAACAATTCATTTCCACCCACGCTGGTCATTTGTCTCCCAAACTTTAAACTTCTTAGTGCAAATCACAAACCCATGTCCGTCAGACAGTCCCTGCCAGTAAAGACACACCACAAGGACGCCACACGACGAGAAACGCTCCCGTGGACTTTAGAAGCAGAAAATTTAGCGGTGTACTCAGTGTACGTTAAGAAAATCCCATCAGTGAATGGAAGGGATTATCAACCTGTTGTGCATTATTTACTATCAAAAGTGTCTTCCACCGCTGTACTTGCATCAGCTCGAACATCATCGGTGCCTAGCTCTCCTACATTGGCCCCGCTTCAGTTTCTTAAGCCGAGTGGCGCGGTTGGGCGAAGGGTTTCCACGCTTGGATTTTGTGTTCACACAGATTTTCAGCCAATTGAAGTCAGCTGCTGTGGGAAGCAGGTGAGACTGGTTTAGGCTGGGGCGCGTTTAGATTGACTGTCGCTAAACCAAAAAGTGATATCATTGTAAAGCGTGCTGATTAGAAAGCAGAAAAGTGTCTGTAGGGGCCATTGAGAACTTGAACTAAACCCACATGTATCTTATTGACAAGAAGCGCCTTGAAACACTAGTGAGCAGGACGGGGTTGATTTTGGGTGCTTGTGATCGGCTGAGGGGATTACGTGAGTTTTCCAGATCCTTAACAAAGATGCGGTGAACCGATGCAACCCTGTATTACTTTCGACACGGAACAGTCATAATATTTCTAAGACTGGGTTAACTCGTTTTTTTGCTTTTTTAGATGCAGTTAGTCGCCAACTTGTTGGAGGATCTCCTCTCAACCTGCTTCTTAACTTCAACATCTTCCGTTTCCGCTGACACTACTTCCGGTATGCCGACATCCGTTACCCATACTACCACCCCAGATATGAAACGGACAACTTCCTTGACTTCATCATCCTGTCTGGACCAAGTAGAAAGTGAGATCGCACCAACCGAAAGCGTTTCTTCAACGACCTTTTCACAAGTTCAACAGGTATGCCAGCAGATATCACTCTTATCTTGAAGCCTATGCAAACGCCAAGGGGGAGGGAGGGGGAAACGAGAAGGACGACTGGGCGTGTCCGCTGAATTCTTCAACCGTGGTGACCATGTTTGTAGCAAAAACATAAAATCTAATGTGTAAATTGTGCCATTTCAACTGCATGGGGAAACCTCTAATGTATTTAGACACGATATTTGAAGTCAGATTCTTTTTAAAAAACATCTTCCTTTGCTGTTAATTGTTCAGAATTACTAAATTATCGTCTTTTATGATATTTTCGTCTTTCCAATACTTCTTTCAGCCCTCTAAGTCCATTCGAGTTTCGCTGTGGCTGCAATGGACTCTTCCTAGAGTCGTTACTAATCTATACAGTCGATCAGCGGTCGATCACTCGGCTGTATGCGTCAGTGCAGAGCTGGAGGATCTAACAGCTTCAGTTGATTACAGTGACGCCATGCTTCAGATGCAGTGCAAGATCGGAGCTTTTAATGTTTCGCACTTCATACAAAGGTGTCTTTTTCAGATGGTTTATGTAGTATAATAATGTATCCTGTTATTGCTGATTATGACTTAAGGCACAAAGGAACTATGAATACGTAGTAGACTGTGTTTGACAGACAAAGTTTTCTGGCAGCACAAGGGTGGTGATCACACGCGGATATCTAGGTACTGTAATTAGTAGAAGCCAGTCATGATAATTTAGTAGCAATTTTCTAATTTACCTACTCTGCTTCAGTTAAAAAAAAATGATCTAAGGCGATGAAAACATTGTTAAGAGTGAAGTTATGGGAGAGAATACAGGTTGGAAATTCAGAGTTTAAACTGAGGTTAGGTGTGTCTGAGATGTTGAAACATAATCGTAATTTCTCCTCCTGGTACCTTCTGGGAAATGCTCCTTAATTTTGGTTGTTATAGTATTGATACAGACTGAAATTTTTGAAATTTAGGTATAAACGTCCGCTCAATACTGATTTTAATTTTGCTTACATTTGTAAAGCTCTGATGGTTTCTGGGAACTTGGTCTTTTCAACGGCATATTGTTATCCTGTAATGATATAATCTCCTCCAAATCACTCTTCACGTCAGCAAGGCGTCCGTCCAGCGGTCGCCGAGAGAATTCAGGCCCAGGGGCGCACGGCTTTCTCACGGTCATGTACAAACGCTCCTCCCTTCACTTAAAGAGACGCAGGTCGTCTTCTTTGGAGAGGACTGGTAAAGAGGAAGACCAGTACAAAGACCAGCACGAAATACACGTCAATATTCAGCCGTTTGATGTCGTGTTGTGGTGCCCAGCTATCGTTTCGGCTCTTAACATGTTTGATTTAAGCTTGTTAGAGAAGTTTCGATTTTTGTCTGAACGCAAGACCGTCGTAGAGAAGACAGAAAGCGTGTTTCTTCCGAAGAACGACGAAGAAGGAGAAAAAGCTGAAAGTGTCACGGTTAATGTCGAACTCTTACCACTTCTTTTTGTCAACATGAGAAATCTGAGATTGTTCATTCCGAGTTTATTAGTTGGGAAAGATCCAAACTCGGCCCAGGGATCGGCAAGAATTCGTTCACAAGAGGACATGGCTGTAGTTCAACTTTCAACAGTGGCTGTTTCTCCTCACCCTGACAATCCAAACTCCAGAAAAGTTTTGAATCGCGAGTTTTACGAGAAGTTTCGTAAATTCGGTCGGAGCTCCAGGCAAGCTCTGGGATACGACATCCACGATGTACAGTACCAGATTGACCTGTGCGGGTTTGGCGTGTGGACGGGGAGCTGGGAACAACTTTGCGGGAAACATAAAAATGAGAATGACCAGGAACTAGTTGGTATTGCTGTGGACCAGAATCCTGCACTGGAGTGGAACACGCAGATGTGGTATGTGTTTGCGTGTTACTTATTAAACCATCGAATGAGAGATCTGTTATTTCGTGCACTTCAAAAATATTTTGCAATAGTGGCCTTTTGATACAGGTAAGGGTGTTGAAATACGAGCAGAATTATTAATCGTCGTACGGCGCGTGCTAATGACGTTAACGTTACGGTGTCGTATAGGAGGCTATAGAGTGGG